CAATGCAACCACAAATTAGTCAGCATTATTTATGGATGAATTCAGCCAAGGAAATATGGGATAGTGTTGCTGAAACTTATTCTCAAAAACTAAATGTGGACAGGGCTTATAAGTTAAGGAGTGATGTGAATAATCTAAGGCAGGGGGAGAGACCTTTAGCAGTATACTTCTCAATGCTGAAATCCCTATGGCAAGAGATAGACCTAATGGAAATTGTTGTTTGGGAAAGCACAAATGATACTGACACATACAGGAAATTAGTTGAGAGAAATAGGGTATTTGAATTATTGACAGGGTTGAATCCCGAGTTTGACATTACCAGCTAGAATATCCTAGCTAAGGATAATGTATCTTTGTCTCAGGCTTATGCCATGGTGAGTAGTGAAGAGAGCAGGAGGCTGGTACAGGTTCAAGGGACCATCCCAAGTGACCATTTTGCTAATATGGGGCTGAAATCGAAGGTGACTGCAAGCAATTCAGGTGGTTCAAGGAAAAAGGAAGTTATATGTGAGTACTACAAGAAACCAAAACATACAAAAGGCAAATGTTGGAAACTGCATCCAGAACTCCTTCCACCTCGTTTTCAAAAGAAGGTTGATAATGGGAAGCCAGGAAGTGCCAACACAGCCACAGTCTCAGATAATGACAGGTGCTTCACAAATGAGAGGACTACTAGTGAGCAGTTAGCAATTATGAAGACAGAGTATGAGAAGTATGGGAGGATGATCAGTCAACTACTTCTGCATTTACACGTTCAGGTATGCGTGCTACTGCCAATCATGCAACTATCTCAGGTAATCGTAGGATCTCTTGGATTATTGATTCTGGTGCTTCTAATCATATGACCAGTCTCTCCACTTTGTTTATTTCTTATGATTTGCTTCCTAGCCGTGATAAGATTACCCTAGCTGATGGCTCACTTGCTCCTATCTCTGGCAAGGGAACCATCAAAGCTACAGACTTTCTTTCTCTTTCTTCTATCCTTCATGTCCCTAGACTGAATACTAATTTATTATCTATGAGTAGCCTAACTAAATCCTTGAACTGCAGTGTAACCTTCTTCCCTTCTTATTGTGTTTTTCAAGACCTGAAGTCTCAGAAAGTGATTGGGAGTGGCCATGAGGCGAATGGAATATACCTGTTGGATACTCCTGGACAAAGCCAAGGGCAACCTGGAAAAGCTACTTTTGGATCTACCTCTTCAGAATCTTTTAGTCGTGTCATGTTATGTCATTTTCGTTTAGGTCATTTATCTTTTTCTGCTTTGAGTCATTTGTTCCCAAAATTGTTCAAGGGAATTAACTTGTATAGCCTTCACTATTAGTCATGTGAGTTATCAAAACAATGTAGAAACAGTTATCCTTTGAGTAATAAAAGATCATCATTTCCTTTTCATATTGTGCACTCTGATGTGTGGGGGCCATATCACTTGCCCTCTATGGGAGGTTATAGATATTTTATCTTGTTCATTGATGATTTTTCTCGATATACTTGGTTATTTATTATGAGATCTCTAGATGAAGTTCCCAAGCTTGTGAGGCAATTCCATAAATTTGTTCTTACCTAGCTTGATACAAGAATTAAAATATTCAGATCTGACAATGCAAAAGAATACTTTGAGAAAAACCTAACCTCTTATCTCATTGATTTTGGGGTCATTCACCAGAGTTCTTGTGTTCGTACTCCAAAACAAAATGGAGTAGCTGGGAGGAAGAACCGTCACATAGTTGAAGTTTCAAGAAGCATTTTGTTTGCCACACATGTCCCTACAAGATTTTGGGGGGATGTTGTTCTCACTACAACCTATCTAATCAACCGTATGCCATCCAAAGTGTTGGGTTTTAAGTCCCCCTTTAACCTCCTTCATCCGGATAAGGACCTTTTTTCTATTCCTATTCGTGTCTTTGGATGTACTTGTTATGTATACATTTCTAGTACCCAGAGACATAAATTTGAACCAAAGGCCCATAAGTGCATCTTCCTTGGTTATGCCTCTACACAGAAGGGTTATTGTTGTTTTGATCCTAACACTGGAACTCGTTATGTTTCAATGGATGTTACCGTTGATGAGTCCACTCCTTTCTATGATACTTCTCGGGGGAAGCATTGTTCACAGTGGGAGTATTTGTCATAGTTGTTTTCACTCCCCCTTCATGTCCCTGTTGAGTCTCCTCTTGAGTCTCTTTCTATTCTTGATGGGTCAAGGGGGGAACAATCATCTCCAATTCCTTCCAATATTCCTATTCCTCCTCCATTACCTCCTCGTCCCCTTTTTAATCCCAGGTGGTACCAATGGCAAAGGACTAGGAGTGAGCAAATTGTTTCCTCTACATCACATGAGCCTCTTACACTTCCAGTTACTGAAGAGACAACAAGTATTGATACCATCCCTTTACCTCCTCGTCCCCTTTTTAATCCCAGGTGGTACCAATGGCAAAGGACCAAGAGTGAGCAAATTATTTCCTCTACATCACATGAGCCTCCTACACTTCCAGTTAGTGAAGAGACAACAGGTACTAATACCATCCCTTTACAGGCTCCCTTCCCAGATCTTAATGTCCCTATTGCTATTAGGAAAGGTAAACGGAAGTGTACTGCACATTACATTTCCAAACATGTTTCCTATGGCCTGCTTTCTCCTTCATATTATGCCTTTCTTTCTTCTGTTGCTTCTAACCCTATACCTAGGTCTATATCAGAAGCCCTTACTTTTCCAGAATGGAGAGATGTTATAAGAACTGAAATAGATGCTCTACACAAGAATAACACATGGGAAGTGGTTGATTTGCCTGAAGGGAAGAAGACAGTAGACTATAAGTGGGTGTATACCATCAAATATTATGTTGATGGCTCCATTGAGAGGTACAAAGCTCGGTTGGTTGCAAAAGGCTATACACAAACTTATGGGATTGACTATTTAGAGACTTTTGCTCCTGTTGCAAAGATGACATATGTGCGGGTTCTACTATCTTTGGCTGCTCATTCAAACTGGCCTCTTTATCAGTTGGATGTGAAAAATGCATTATTGAATGGAGTATTACATGAGGAAGTTTATATGTATCTCCCACCAGGGATGTATGGCACAGACATAGAGGGAAAAGTGTGCAAGTTGAAGAAGCCTCTCTATGGATTCAACCAGTCACCTAGGGTGTGGTTTGAAAGGTTTAGGGTTGCCCTTGTTAACTTTAGTTACGTACAGACTCAGTCTGATCATACCCTCTTTGTGAAGAGGAGAGGTTCATTGGTGGTATATCTCATAATCTATGTTGATGATATTGTAGTGACTGGCACTGATCTGATAGGAATTGATGATCTTAAATCTTTCCTTCATATAGAGTTTGAGCTCAAAGATCTGGGGGAGTTGAGGTATTTCCTTGGCATTGAAATGGCTCAGTCTAAGGATGCAATTTTTATCTCTCAGCGAAAATATGTGCTAGACTTGCTTACTAAAACAAGCAAAATGGGTGCAAGACCAGTGGCTACTCCTATTGATATGAGTCACAAACTTTCTACCTCTAATGGAGAACTGTTGAAGGATAAGGGAGTGTTTCAAAGGTTACTAGGGAAACTGCTATATCTTTGTATAACTCGACCTGACATTACATATGCTGTCAGCTGCATTAGCCAGTTCATGCATGCTTCCAGGGACACTCATATGGTAGTAGCAGAACGAATTTTATGTTATTTGAAGAGTACTCCTGGGAATGGCATTCTTTTTTCTAAGCATGGTCATATGAAACTGGAGGCTTACACAAATGCTGACTAGTCGGGAAATATTGATGATAGGAGGTCAACATCTGGATATTGTAGAATGGGGGCAGGTAATATTGTTTCTTAGAGAAGCAAAAAACAATTTGTTGTTGCCAGATCTTCAGTTAAGGTCGAGTACAAGGCTATGGCTCATGGAGCTTCTGAGTTACTTTGGCTTCAATCCTTGATGGAGGAACTAGGTGTTGAGTATGATAAGCCATTGATGCTATATTGTGATAATCAAGCCGCCATCAACATTTCCCACAATTTGGTGCAACATGATAGGACTAAACATATTGAAGTTGATAGGCATTTTATCAGAGAAAGAGTGGCTTCTGGAGAAGTTTGTCTACCATTCATTACATCTGAAGAACAGTTATCTGACATTCTTACCAAGGGAATCTCCAAGGCCAAACTACAACATGACACTGGCAAGCTGGGCATGACTGACATATATGCTCAGCTTGAGGGGGAGTGTAGAGAGAATGGGCCGAATGGCCCATAGGATGTTCTTATTTTTTTATGTTTCTGTTTATTTTGTTAATGGGCCTTTTGTGTTTCTTTATGTTTATGTTAAATAAAGTTAATTGTCCAATTAAGGGCCTCTCTATAAATTCAGAAACTTTGTAAATTACTTTTTAATGAAAGGATTAGGGAAGGGAGTAAGGTTCGAACAACAACTCTCCCAAAATCCTATTGCCGCCAACTTCTTCTTCTTCTTCTCTCTTTGTTGCTGATACCTTATCCTTTTTCACAACTTTTAAATCAGTCCTCTCATTCTTTGAAACTGTTTTTCTTCCCTCTTTTTTTGTTTGGGGGAGGAAGAAAGGATGGGATATGGGCTACCCCCTCTCTCAAACCAATAGAAATCTTTAATAAGATCTTTTCATTCCAAGTGCTTCTAAAATGACCTACAGAAAATTTCTTCAATGTTATGGTTGATAATTGAATAGAACTTTAACTGAAAATCCTTAAAATACAAACCCGACATAACTGATACTGTTCATAGAAACTCAGAACTCCATTTATCAAATCCTAGGACTAATACTAAAATGTGGTGCTTCTTTCCCAGAGTAAAACAACAAACAGACTACAAGAACATTCAAAGTTCTGTGAGATACACCAAAGATGACGTCAGAAACTGAAGGAATTCCAATCTAAACAATAGAAGTTTAAATAATCTTCAAAAGTCTCCAAAGATTTCAATTTTTAAGGAAAGAAATAATAGAGTGTTGAAAGAAGAAAATTACCACAGCACTAGTGTCCATGTGGCTGATGTCTGCTGTGACACCAGGAGAATTGACAACATCATAGAGATGGAGAACAGAAACCAGTGGATTCATCTTCATCAACATTGCGAGAGGTTGGCCAATGCCACCAGCCGCACCCAGGATAGCAACCTTGAATCCAGATGAACCACCCTTCGTTCGGCAATTTTCCCGCCTCAAAATTGAAGTTTCATCCGTCTTTTAGCCCATAATCCATACAATGTTTCCAAATAACGAGAAACCAAGAAAAAAAATCAGATCTTTGTAAATAGGCACAACATAAAGAACCCTATCTTCCATCAAATGATCGAAAACCATTCGAACCCCGGAAGAGAAAGAAAGCAAATAATCCGAAAACAACAGAATTCTGAAAAGAAATCAAACAGAGGAAAAATAGAATGAAGAAGGAAGTCAACCTGGAGATTAAAGGGGCAGAGATGAGCAGAGATCCTTGCAATACGTTGATTAACCTTCGCGCTCGGTTGCATCTTGGCGTATCGCTGAAGAATAATGGAGAAGGGAAGATTTGTCACTATATAACGGAAGTAGGTTGATCTATTGGTATTAGTAGTCTATTACAAGTAAATAAACAAGCGAAAGTGCGAAACAGTGGAACTGTGGAAGGCTGAAAACTGACGTGAGGATGACGGTGATATCCTAAAGTCGAGATGCGTGGAAATTGAAATTTCCTGCTGAGAAGCCTTATGTTTGCGTTATGGTTCTTGCGGTTATCAAACACTTAGAGCAAGTAGCTTCTCCTTCCCTCCTCTCCAATTCACCCCAAAGGCCCAAACTCTGTCATTGATCTCCTACGCAGCTACGGCTTTTCCAGCAATTTTTTGTTTTATCTATATATCTATATATCTATCTATATATTATATTAAAATTGGTGTGTTCATTATCATCATGTCTCTTTTTTTTTTTAACCAGGAAAAAACTATTATATTAACTTTTAAAACTTACATGATTCGGGCCCGAGCTACTATTAAGAAACCTTTAGTTGGCCCTTATAGGATAAGTAGGCGAAAGTACGTGTTGCCGGATTGTAGCTTCTAGGTATATGTACAGATGTAGTGCGATCTAGCTATTCCCTGCTGGAGATTTGGCTTCCAGTTGAACGACGGATTAGGTTGATCTGCAAGACGAGGATTAGAGAATCCGGTGAGGTCGCTCTGATGCTTAAGTTAGCAAACTTATTGCGAGCTGAAAATTGTTGAGAATATTGAGAGCTAGAGAGCAGAGAAATCACGCGTACCTTGAACCACCAGGGGCGGAGTCTTTATATAGTTGAGTCCTCGCGGGTTTTGCGGATCGGTTGCGGGATCTTCATCACGATGAGATCCGTTTCCGCTTTAATTGGAGGGTAACGCTGTCAATTGATAAGGCTTATTAATTCCGCCCGAGTTAGGGGATGAGATAATGCTAGCCGTTACGCGGCGTGATCCCGTGAGGTTCGGAATCCGTTGGAGGGGTTTCTGGGATCACCACGTAGTGATCTGAGTTGGTATCCCCGAGTTGATGCTTTTAAGTTCCAAATTAGGTTGAATGTCAAAGTGCCTTGGGATCGAGGTGATCCTATTGCGATCTAGTACTGAGGTGACCTTGTCCCGAGGTCATCTTATCCCAAGGTGGTTGGATATCCGAACTTAATCTATTGTGGACTAGTCATATTAGGCTGAGTTGTCATCTCTTGGTCAGGTCGTGTCCACGTATCTACTCTTTATTAGGTCGGGTCAAATCACCCATCATCACGTACAAAATATATAACTTCAAAACAAGATATTAATCTTCTTAAATAGCTCCTATGTAGCTGTTTTATCCGGTGGTTAACACGGTTAGCATTAGCAAATTCAACTAAGTCTGAGCTGTCTGCATGGACCAAAAGATGCTTCATTTCTCTAGAGATCGCCATTTGGAGTCCGGTGAGAAGGGCTAGTATTTCAGCATCATAGCTCCAACATGGTCTACCTTCTGCATAGGTGAGTTGTTCATTGGTTTATTGGAGGATGATCCCACATCCTGCGTGACCTGTAACCGGATCAAAAGAACCATCAGTATAGAAAATGGGCAGATTACTACGATGCATGCGACGGACTTGGGATGATAATTGTACAGAGGGCTTGTACTCCAAACTGAAGGAACTCATTGCCTTTACCACTTGAATCGGTTCCTGCCGATCATTCTCAAATATTTTTTTGTTTCTGGCTTCCCATACGCAATAAATAATTAATGCAAACTTGCTGAGACTCATTAAAGCTTGTTGCTTTCCTAGGTTATGAGCCAGATAGTTATACCAATCTTGAACAATGATGTGGATGGGTGACTGCGAAATTATAGAGGGGTTTAAACCAATCTGAGCTCCGCACCAGACAGCCCGTGCAAACGTACACTGGACAAAAGAGGTGATGTGGCGTTTCCTCGTGACTGCCACAAAATGAACAAAGTTTATCCGGTCCTAGTAATCAAGGACATTTATTTTTTGTGAGAACTCCATCCCAGAAAAGGAAGACTTGGAACCGGTATGGGATTTTGAGCTTCCACTTAAAATGAGTGGCTGTGCTTGACGCACCAAATGAAGAGAAAAGATGAAAGGCCGACTTAACAGTAAGTTTTGTTTTTCCAGATGGGTAGATCAGCCAACTGACTTGGTTTTATATGTGCTTCCATAATATGTTGGATGATAGACGCCGAGAAGAACTGTTGGAGAGTTGGGAGACTCTGAATTAAGAAACTCTAACGCTTTAAGTCGCGCAACCTAGCTTGATCTAAGGACGAAACTACATATCTATATATATTATATTAAAATTGGTCATGTCTCTCCTCTAGAGAAGCTATTTATCTATTTTCTTCATTTTTTGTATTTTTATTATTGTCTTTAATTTTAAAAATATAAAACAATAATCATTATTTATCTTGATTAGATTAATAAAAAAGTACACTATCTTGATTAGCTTGATCTAAGGCCTCTTATTTTAATGCATGTTATTATTATATTTAAAAAAGACATTTAATTAAGAGAGAGAGAGAATAGTAATAATAAATATTAAATAATATAAATAGGTTAATGTTAAACAATAAAAAATTTATTAATTTAAAAATTCACTAAACTTTCACTAAAAATGTACAAAACTTATTAAATAATAAAAATGTGTTTCAATTCCCCTTAAAAATCAAACTTCATAAACGCTAACAAAAATAAGAAATTTAAATATAAAAATATTAATTGATAGTTTTACACTTTTAATAATATTATTAGATAACTTATGAGTTGAGACCTTTATTGTGCATAATGAGCTCATTAAAAATGATAAAAATTAATGAAATTTTAAAATGTAGAACTCATTTTATTAACACTAAAAAATGTAAATATTAAAATATTAATTGATAATTTAATAATATTATTATATAACTTTGTATTAATGTATTTTTAATTAATTAATAATTTTTATGAGTTGAGACCTTTATTGTGCATAATGAACTCATTAAAAATGATAAAAATTAATGAAAATTATTAACAGTATTTTATTGCAAAATTACTCATATGCAAAAATTACTAAATAATAGTGAAAAAATACCAACAATTAATTAAAAATTTGAAAAATTCTAAAAAACCTAAACATAATTAAAATACTAAAAATAGTTAAAATTAACAATATTTTATATTAATAAGGGTATTTACTAAAAATGATTAGAAAGTACAATTAATAGTATTTTATTATTAAAAATACCAAAAATTATTAAAAAATACCCAAGCCAAAAATTATTGAAAAATATTGAAAATTAGTTGTGTTTTTTTATTAACTATGGTATTTATTTAGTTATTTAATTTATTTTTACTGAAAACAAATACAAATTAATGTTGTAGTGACTAATATGCAAAAATAAATGCTGAAAATACTGATAATTATTGAAAAATACTCATATGCAAAAATTACTGAATAATAATGAAAAACATCAAAAATTATTTAAAAATCCAAAAATTCTAAAGCTCGAGCCCAAGCCCAAAGACCGATCTGTACATAAAATGTCTTATTTTTTACTATACTTTTATAAACTATTATTATATTAATTTAGTAATAATTTAATAAATTAATAAACTAATTTATACTTTCTAATACTAAATTGATATTTATTAATAATTTAAGAAATATATATTATATTTATTATATATAACATAAGTACTTTTTTATATATGTAATAGTATCGGGTCGGGCTTATTTGAGAAAGCTCAAGCTCGAGCCCACAGGCCTGAAATTTTGTCCAAGCCTAAAAAATAACAAGTAGGACTGGGTCGGGCCATCGAGCTACCCGACCCATGAATAGGTCTAATTGTATATATAAACAATTGTATACATAAAAAATCATATGAAATAAAAATTTAAACATCTTTTTCTATTTTTTTTAAATGGACTTCTCATAACTTGGCCCAGTCCACAGCCTGGCTTGCCAAGGCTTGGCCCATGAACCAACCCAGCCCATGGCATGGCATGGGCCCATGCAGGCTCGGGTCGTGGGTCGTGTGAACCAACCCCCCAAATTATCCCAGGGGAGGAAGGCACGGCCCAGGATATCCCGTGGTCTAGCACAACACGACCCACACTTTGTGCGGGCCACATGTGAGTCATGTCGTGCCGGTCCAGCACAACCTGATTTACACCTCTACTTGAACCCGCCCAATACTGGGGATAGGGTGGGGAAATTCAAGGATTCCCTCATCCATGATGAGGAGTGGGGTGCATTGACCCTAAACTCGCATGACATTGGGGAGTGGTTGCCTTGCCCTGAACTCGCCTGACACTAGGGACGGAGCGGGGATGGAGTAGAGTGTCTTGACTATTGGGGCGAGGACAGGGATGGGGTGCCCCACCCTATTGTTATTCCTATATAATTGTTAATTATTAGTGAAATTAATAAAAATGTTAGTTTTTACAATTATTTTTATTTATTTAAAATTAATCAAAATATCATTTAAAAATAATAACAATATTAAAATTACTACAAATTATTAATAAAACTAAATTTATTAAAAATATTTATTCATATTAGATTAACAATAATTATTTTCTATAAATCAACATTAAATGAAAAATACAATTATTAAAATTTTAAATATTAACAAAATCCTTAAATACTTTTAATTAATTAACAACAATTTTTTATTATTAATTTAATATTTATTAAAAATAAATAAAATTATTAAATTCACATGATGGGGTTATGGACTCTATTGAGGGGTATTCCAGTCATTTGGATAGGACGTTATCATCAATTTTTAAAAGACGTAGATATTTCCGTAATTTACTTACTCTCACTTTTTTTTTTTTTTGAAAGGTGAATACTATATTAACACATAGAAAGAATAATAAAATCCTCAAATCCCTTCTAGATAATCTAAACTTACAAAAGAAGAAGAGTAAGATTTAGCTAATTGGGATACCGCATGGGATGATTTGTTAAACTGTCTATTTATATAAAAATTAACTTTTTTGAGGTTCTTTAGTAACATCCTGGATTTTGACAAAAGCCACTAGCATGACCAGCTCATGCTGCCTAAACGCTCTTATCGGCTGCTGAGCATCAAAATATAAATAGACTTCATCAAATTTCCAATTTTGTAACTTCAGTAAAATCTGCAAAATAGCAAATAATTAACAGAATTAACTTGAGAGGTCCGTCTTCCAATTATTTTCATACAGGATAAATTCCGAGATAAAATGATGATGCCATAGAATTAACTTACTCTAACTGTTACAGCAAGTAATTCTCGTTATTGGGTTTCATTCACCTATGAACAAAGGAAGAAAGCCTCTCCCACACGAATCCATTTTCTCTAT